TACATATAAATGTTTTATTTTATTCTACATTTATTATACCATAAAAGTATCTGCATAAATATCCTCTATATAGAAAGTGTTAACGCGTCCTAATATCTGAATGTTTCTAACAACGATATTAGTGCAATTAAGTTTATCAGTCATAATAAACTGTTGCGTATTTAATGAAATCAATAGGTTTGTTTGCAACTCGTTGATTTGTATGACTTTTAAGCTTGTCTGAAAAGTCACATTGTCAAATGCCATCCGTGCTGAAATATAAAATATATTATATGAATACTTAAACTTATATTCCAAAATTCACTAAAGCCAATACTAAAAATCTATAGTTTATGTAACGTATACTATACATGATCAGCGCTGACAATAAATTTTGACAGGAATACAATCTTAGTTTACCATTTATACGACAATGCATATTTTACCGACATTATTGCTAATTACAAATGACATGTAATATATTTATAGTAAATTACATGTTATAATAAATTACAATTATACTTGGTTTGCAATTAATAATAATGCTGTAAAAAAGTCTGCAACTTTATATTATTTATTTATATTTATATGTATATTTTTTTATTACTCAAAAAGATAATTACCTGAAAAATATTTAGGCTTATTAAGAATGATAACATTCTCATGTAAATCTGTCATATCAACTCCCATGATGGTACTTGATTGTAATTTTCTTTTTACTAGGAGATTTTTTTGTAGATAAATATCTTCTTTGAATATGATTTTGGTATCGATCGAAAAAGGTTTATCAACATAAACAACACTTTTGTGAAATCTATATAAATCTAAATCATTCAAGCTGCCATCGATGTTAAATGCGTCATTGAACGTGACTGAATTGTTGAATAATTTTAATCCAGAAATTGTAATATTTCCATAATTTTTAAAAATTATTGTTTCCATGAAATTGTTCAACATTAATTCTTGAATGAATCCACTTACATTCAATCTTATTATCGAGGAAGTCTCAGTGAAATAGAAATTACCACAAAGAGCATAAGAATTAGCTTCAAGTGCCTTAAATCTATTTGTGAAATCACTTAGGAATACAACATTTCCAATTCTGCCAGTTGTATTAAAGTTTCTTAAAACGGTGATCGAGCCTCAAAAAAAAAAAAGATTAATTTTTAAATTAATATAAAAAAAAAAGATTAAAAAGAGAAATTATTATAGAGTAATATTGTAAATAAATATAATCAATTAACTTAAAAAGCAAATGAGCACATAAATTTTTAATGTTATTTATAGCAATAAGCAAAAATATACATCCGAAAGAATGCATTTAATAAATATATATTCGATTAATTTTAAAATAAAAAATAATTAAGTATTATTAATAATGTAAAAATAAAAATGTTGAAAAAATGTTATTTTGTTATATAAATATGTAAAAATATTTAATATATTTATGTATATAGCCTACCTTTTATAACAACTGGTCCTTTGAGCATTTGTTTTTCATTTGGATCCAAAATGTCTTTTACGAAATGCCCATTTATAAATTGCATTTTCAAAAATTCACATGTGATATTTTTGAATGTTTTGCGATTTATAAATGTAATATTTTTATCAGTTTTCTGAACAGCATCAGCGATAAATTTAGATAGATTCAAACCGTTTACAAAGCCAATTATTTTTAAATTTTCAATTGACACATTTTTATCGAAGATAACATTTGCCATGTTGTATTCCTTATAAATGTTAATGATATCGTCGTCATTGATCAAAGACGTCATTATCATACCTGTCACTCGTAGGGATTTTATTGACACATTTCCGTCAAACATGTTATTATAAAGTGATTTTGCATTTGTCAATAATAGATTCCATGTATTCAATGATATTCCATTGATGAATGTTATGTCTAAGAGGTCAGTTTTTAAGTTGTCAATTACTAAAGCACCTGTTAAATTTTGCTGAGTATAGGGTGTTAATACACATTTAGCTAAATCTGTATAATTAATTCCATTGATTGTGTTTGGCAAGATCTCTTCGGCCGATAATGTAGAGAACGTCAAGTTCTCAAAATAGACTTCTTGAAAAAATTCGTTTAATTTATCAAAAAAAGTGGTTTGAGAAATAATTTGATTTATGGTATCAAAAGACAAATCATCAATGATAGGTGGTCTAATAAAGAACAATACTTTGTTTAAACAACCAAAAGTGATATTTTGTTCGTAAATTACATAATCCTCCAACTTTTTCATGGTATCAAGAGTTATATTTCCAAACATGACATTCGGCGATATTTTTGTCAAATCTAAAATAAATAAAATTGTTAAAAATTGTTTGAAATAAAATTTTTATGATGCTCTACGGGTAGATATAATTTTATAACTATTTTTCATTTTTTCAATTGATTTAATGTTATAAATTGTCTTGTAAAATTCCTTTTACTTTTTGAATCTATTATGAAAGCAAAATAAAAAATATATATTCTTAAAAAATATATTTTTGTCTGTTTTTTTAATAGACAGTATAAATAAATAAGTATAATTTTTCTGTTTTGATAATTTAGAATCAAATAATATTTAGAAATTATAATTTTGATACATACGTGGAAATTCTTGATTAGTGTTTAATGTTACAAATTCCGAGAAAAGATGGTTATTAATTCGTCTGGAAATAATTGTAGCGTTGGACTTTACGTTGACGTTGTTCAAAAACTTTTTATTTGCAGTAATTATTGCATTTGCCTCAGTTTTTAACAAAAGATCATCAAAGTCTAACCATGTTTTAGTATTAATTGAATCTTGGAGTATTATATTTCCCATAATAGTCAAATTTTCAAAAATAACATCTGATAAAAGGCTATTAGTTTCGTTAAGTAAGCCCTCTGTGCTGCTTACGTTAATACCTGTTATATTTCCATCGATCTGAAATTGTTATAGAACATATTTATATATGCTTAATTGTAATATATGTTTATTAAATTGTACCTGAAAAGTTCCAACAATTTCCAGATTCTCAAAAGTAATTTCTTCATTAATAAACTCATGTTTGTTAAGAATAACATAATCGTCAATATTTATTTTATTTATTGCGTTGATACTTAATAAATGTCTAATAGACAGATTGGCAAAATGCTTTATACCCGTAATGTTAGATAATCTATTACTCATTAGAACATAATCCTCTGGATATCGCAAATGATTTAAATTTTCGACATTAGCTTCTTCGGCGAAAAGCTGTAGACAGAAAATTCTTTTATGAAAGATAATGACATAAAATTGCAATATTAATATACAGAGTGCCCAATAAAAATGATGCAATCAGCGATTTTTTATAAAAAGGTAAGAGAAAGAAGTTAAACATAGAATAAGAACTTTTTTATATTATTGCAAGTAAAGAAATAATTAGAGATATTTTACTTTTATATACAAAACTATTTCTTTAGAAATTGTATAAATTAGGCATATAAAATTCTTTTAAATTTTTAGTAGATAATATTCATTTTGTCGCTACAATTATAATCTATTGGGCAGTTTTATATTATTATAGTAATATTATAGTTTTTTATTATTATTTATTTTCTGTTCTCTGTTTTATTATCTTACTTTTTCCACGATCGTCTTTCCAGAAATTGTTGTCGAATTATCTCTCCAAATTATATTTTGCATCAAATTCTTCCAATTAATATCATTTATCTCAGAAAAGCTTAAATGTCCGTTAATTTCTAATCGCCTTATTTTTGAAAAATTTACATCACTATAATTTTTGATTGGAAAACCAAAAACAATTTTTGCCAACGGTATGTCATTTAAAGAGAAAACCGTTAAGTCATCGGTGTTGATAGCAGGAAAAGATTTCTGACCATTGATAATATCAGGGATATCATTTACAATACTGTTCACTATGATCGAAGTTGATACATTATTAATAAATGCAGCAGTTACATTCTTGGCATATAGTGTACCATTCACCAGAAAATCTCCAGTAAATTCGATATCTGACAAGACAATGCTTGTCGAATTAGTTATGTTTTTCAAATCCGATATAACCTGCTCGAGTTTAGCTTCTAACTCTTTTAGTTTTTTTAAATTTAATGTCACGTTTGTCGATATATCATTTATTCCCAAATCAATTTGACCGACTTTAACAGCGCCATAATTTACATGTTTTTCGATTGTAGCATTTAATACATTTATTTTTGAAAAATTCCAAAATCCTGCTATTGTAGGATTCTTAAAATAACTTTCATTAAATCGTACTTCAGTCTCATAAAAGACAGCTTCCTGTTTTCGAAAAACTTCCTGAAAATGTACATTTTACAAAATGTTATACAAAATGTTATATAAAAGGTTTGCACAAACTATACTTTATATATTTATTTATTTCAATGCATAACATATGTAAATTATGAAATGTTTTATATTAAAATACTATTAAACATATGTGTGTATAATTTTATAAAGTACATGTCTATATTAAAAAGAAATAAGATGTGCAAACGAACCTCCAATAAAGCTCGTGTCTTTAACACGCTTTCCATCTTATTGTGAATAGGCTGCACTAATTCATTTAAGATCACTTCTATGCGCACAAATGCATTCCTATGTACGAATCCAACTTTTGGAATAACGACAATTTTTGACAGATCAAACTTGCTTATAATCTGATTAGGTAAAGGTATAGCTTTATACTTTAATCCATGCCAAGCAAACGCAATTACTGTTAAATTTTGTAATTGAACTAGTAACAATGACTCGTCTCGATATGTGTTTAGTGGTATAGTGCCTATCCACAAAATTTCAATTGTTTCTAGTAAAAATAATAATATATATTTTTCAATATGTTTATACTAAAAGTTATCATGATCTTACCATTGAAATGTGAATTTATTTCAGCAATATCTTGAAATTCGTTTTCAAAGAAATGAAGCAAACGCAACTTTTCTCCGCCAATTGCTAAATATTCAATATAACCACTCTCAAAGCAGACAACATTTGCAAGTTTGTTGGATTTAATAACTTCTAATTTTTCATATTGGCACAATTTATCTTCACTTTTTGATTTGTATAATATAACACTGTCAATCCCTTGAAAAGCTAGCACAGTGCGCCCGTAAATCGGACAAACTTGAATATTAAATATTTTTGGAACAAATAACCGTCGACAAAACCTGCATAATGTAAATTTTTATATAACAAGTACTGCATTTGCATATTTATATTATTTTTTTGTAAACTAGAATATAACTTGATCTTATAACGTGTATATTTGAAATATAAGCGTATAAAAACTATAATTGAAAAATAAATCACTTTTGGAAAAGAAATATCTCTCTCCGAGGTTTCTTTGATGAAGACATCAGGATATCAACGACAAAAGCAAAAATTAAATAAAAGCGTTAAAACAACGGATGTTAATTTATAATTTATTTACAGCATAATGCTTTGTCTTTGCTGTAAATTTTGTTTACATTTTTTGTTTTTTTTTATAAAAATGCTTATTATAAAACTTATATAATATTGCAAAATTTTATTCTAAGTGTAAAGTGCGATGTAATCTTTTAATATAGTATTACGAAAAGTAAAGTAAGCAGCACTTGTAATTAAACAAATGCAATTACCATATATCAATGCGATGATTGTTATAATCAACATTAAAACTGTAAACATCAATAAGCGATTGTCCTTCGAAATATGTATCATTGTCTAGTAGCAATAATTCATGTTGATTTCCTTCTTGCACGAATTCCATATTTTGAATTTGCTTCCGTATGGGCCACATTGAATATAATACATATGTATTTCCGAAAATTTTATACCAATACAGGAAATAGCCATGCTGAGATTTAATAAGTAAAACTGCCAATAAATTGTTTGCGTGATTTTTATTAGATATTGCCTCGTTATTGAAATGGAGAACTTTAAATTGTAATATGTGTCCGTCTGTCAATATACTTATAATACGTTCAATGGATAAATCATCTAAATTAATCTTGTAGAAAAGCAACGTTGAATTTTTGGCACAAATTAAATAATTTGTGTCTGTTTGCAAAAATTGCCAATTGTTTCTTGATATGTTGATGTTTTCATTTATATTAACAAATGTATGCAATGAAATATTTGTTACAATAAGATCTGAAAATGAAGACAACTTAGATTATTTATATTTCAAATTGTTCACTAGTTCAGAACTAATCAAAGGCGAAAAGTTATTAAAGATGCACTTATACAGTAAAATAAAATTATATTACTTTATGCGAAAAAATTTTGTATATTATTATATGTAAGAATATTAAGAATTCATGTATACATACTTGCACGCACGTGTTTACGCACGCATGTGAACACACACACACACACACACACACACACACACACACACACACACACACACACACACACACACACACAATGTGATTTCAATTATATAATCTGACTTATAATTTTTCTGCTGTAAATTCTAATTAGTAAAGTAACTATAAAACATTTAATACATTTTAATATATTACTCCTATCTTAATCATTTATATCAAATATATTTTTTCCATTAAACAATATTTTTATAAAATTTGTATACTACTTTGTATTTATTAATATTTAATATATAAATATATAAATATATAAATTAATAAAATGTTTGATAAATAATTACCTTCTCTATTTCCAGCTGCAGTATTGAATTCATATTCTTGCCAAATTAATGGTTTATCTTCATAATTTCGTGGTCTTCGAAATGATCTAGTATTGATAAGTATTTCATCTAATGTTTTAGACATTTCTTCTAGATCTTGACATTTTGCATTAATTATGAAACACCACAGAAAGAGAAAACATATAACAAGATCTTTATTCGCTAACATTCTGGACGCAGACTGAGACTTAACTGTGAAGTTCTCATCAACCAATGTCTCGAAAATATTTGCACGTTATATATGACTGATAATATTATGATTTTCATCGAGCCCATGTTGACCTCTAATTTAAATTTCTTCAACTTGACTAAAAGCTTTCCTTTTAAATTGAACAAAATATTGATATTCTTTGAAATTTTTGTTGTAAAATTATCGAGAGACACGTCGTGGCTCGTCGCCAAGTGTGAGCGTCAGCGCTTTTAATATTACAACATTATTAATAAATTCATTAATGATGTTGTAATATTAGTAAATTTAATTATTTTATAACATAATAATATTTCTATAAATACAAATTTAATATTATGTTTTTATATTAATTTAATATTATGTTTTTTTTGTTGTTTAACAATTAATTAACAGTAATGTGGAACATATAAGATTTGTTACAATCACAGAATACAAAAATTAATTTTAAGTAATTTACATTTTGTATCAAAACTCAGAATATTTATAATTTAGTATTATTTAGTATAATTTAGTATTATTAGGCTGTGTGTCCAAAATTTATTGTCAGCACTGAAAATCTATAGTTCGTATATTGAACGTATATTGAACGTATATTGAATATGACCAGCGCTGACAGTCAAATTTTGAAATACAGTCTTTTATTAATCTATGTTCTATGAACTAATATAAAAAATAATTAAAAATCAAAGTAAACATATAAAATATATTAATATATGTACATATATTATAATGTATAGCATAAAAATTATAAATAAAATTATAAATGAAACAAGTCAAATTATAATATAAAAATCAGATGCAAATAGTAGATCACACGCACGCGCATATGTATGTGTATGTGTGTCCGATTCAATAAACAAATAATAATGCGTTATAAATCTAATCCTTACTAATAAAGTTTATTGGTTATTTTAAAAATAAACATTAAGAAAGTATTTATTTCTTTCATACATACTTGTTATATTACATGTTAATATATTTTCTGAACAATATTAACAAAGATCATATTTCGTATAAATATTGATTAAAATTTTGTACTTTAATGTACTTACATTATTCATGTATACAGGGTGTCTCATTTTAACTTTCGCATCGAAATATAAACTCGTAACGTATAAAAGATATGGGAAAATGTTTCAGACAAAAGTTTTATAATTTCAAGGAGAACATAAGATGATATTGGTTTGACCATTGGTTTGACCATGGATAGCATTGCCAAGTTCATATAAAAGTCAACTTTTGTTTGTCAACTTTTGTTTCTTTGTTTTTTCTTAAATAGAAATAAATAGAAATAGATTCTAAAATATGTCGTACAAAATATTTCGAATAAACTATTCATTTCTGTGACAACTATATAGTAATACTTTTATGCACAGAATAATGAGATGAATCAATTGATGTAAAGAAAATACTTAGTGGTTGTTAGAAAAAAAATGGAGATTTGCAATATGAAAAGACGCATCCTTTTTGAAAAACAATTACATTTAATTAATTAATTTGAATAACAACTATGTAAGAAATGATTTACAACATATTTTATATTTTATGTCAAATTGCATATCAAATTCAAACTTCATAAAGTAAACTCAGAAAGTATTTATTAAAAAAATACTTTATTATAGTGAGTTTTGGAGAGCTTTCGAGGTCACCTACAAGAATATGTCAATCAAAAATGGTGATTTCCATTTAAGAAAACAAAGTTCACTTCTATATAAACTTGGAACGTCCATCCAAGATCAAACCAATGATATCATTTTTTGTTTTCCTTGAAATCATAAAATTTTTATTTGAAACATTTTCCCATATCTTTTATACTTTACGAGATATCTCGAAAGGAATACCCTGTAAATGGAACATGTGTATATATATATATATATATATATATACAGTCACACACACACACACACACACACACACACACACACACACACACACACACACACACACACACACACACACACACACACACACACACACACACGCACATTATGTGTGTGTATGAACCTATATATATATCTTTTTATATTTATAATTAATTTAGTATATTTGTTATATTTGTTATAAATCTTATTATATATTTTACATCTTTATTAGAGTCATTCTGCATTTAATTTTAACTTGAATTTAAAATTGCTAAATAATTCTTGTACACACAATACATTGTATAAATTGTACAATTAAACAAATCACAAATTTTCAATTCTTGTTGTTTTCTTAGCAGAAAAATTTTCATATATGTCATATATAAAGTTTAAATAACGTGCGCAAATTGTTATGTATTATAATGTTACAAATGTGTTATATTTTTTAATATACTATAACATACATTTAATATAATAATTATATACATTTTCAATCGATATATTTTTAAAAAATGGTATCGAATATCAAATTATAAAATAAAATTAAATAAACAGAAAAGTATATAATATGTATGTTACAATAAAGAAAATGTTAAAATATTTAAATTGATTTAACTTAACTTTTATAAAAAATAATATTATATTAAAATTATTAAATTATTATAAATTACGGTATGCTGACTGGCAGAAATCTTGTCCTATCGCCTACTTTTGGCTCAAATCTCAGGTTCACTTTCTCCTTATCATCTTCACCGACCTCGAGAAAGGTATTCCAATCCACAAGAAAATATAAACCGTTTTTTCGTTTTGTTGGTAGAACAGGATCCGGTGCACGGGTAGTGCCACCAAAGGATTCCTCCAGCGCTGCTAGATTTGTTCCTGCAGATGTCGATGACTCCGGAGCTGATGTCAACGCATCCCGGAAGTCCGAACCATCCTTCGTGGAATCTGAAGTCACCGTGCTTGTGGTCGTAGTCGTGATTGGTGTTGTTGTCGAGGAAGTGTCTACAGATACGACAAGATCGTGATAAATTGATATTTAATTTCATTTTGCATTCATTTTGTTTCATATTTGCAAGCAAAATACCATATGTAATAACAAATACTATCGCACGATTAAAAATCTTATTAAAAAAAAATTATAATAAATTCTGCAAATATTGATCCAAATCTAAGTATATATTGATGTAATTTAAGAAAAACAATTAAATATTGCCAAAAATTGATGATTTATTTTTAACAAAACTAAATATAAAGTATGACATATACAATATTATAGAATATTATACAGATACGAAAATAATGAAATTGCATTAAAAAAAAATCAAAAGTTAACAAACAAGATATGTAAGAAAAATATAATAATAAAGAGATGTTAAAGAGATGTTAAAGATTGGAGATTATAGAGTAAGAGAAT